AAATAAATCTTCATTCATCTGCTGCGACAAGGTTTGACTGTATTTAGTGAAGCTGGAAACACACAATGACAGCCAAATGAATAAAATTGGTCTGTTGTTATTTGTATTTCTTAAAGAAAAAAAAAAATATGCATATTCAACGGATATTCAGTGGATATTTGGCGGACATTGGGTGGATATTCGGTGAATGACTGATTATCCAGGTGTTGAGTTTTATTGACTGACCAATTATCCGGATGTTGAGCTTTATTGATTGACCAAGTACTCAAACACCCGGATAATCAACTGATACAACCACTACCAACCATATGAAAATGATGAATAATTTTTTTAGAAATTTATTACTCCAAGAATAACGAGGATTTAATGATTATTTTTTTTATTTGAAACATTTTTAATTGGTGGTCCGCCGATTAACGATAGAAATTTGTTATGTAAATCCGGGATATTAATATCAAAATTTAAGAGATCGCGGAATCCAAATTTCAAAATTAAAATTCTTTTAAAATTGGTATTAGATTAAAAAAAACCCCATTTTCAGATTTTTAGAAATATAATAATAATAAATTATTTTTTTAATAATGACCATTATAGACTTTTGATTTACATTATATTGCCAATTTGCATCGGAAAACACTTTTTCCTAAACAATAAAAGTATATACTGTATATTGTAAAAAGTTAAATGAATAGAAGTTTGGATGAGGTTTAGTTGTTTTTGCTTTTGATAGTTTTTCGAAGAAAATTTTTTACCCATGTTAAGTAAAAATCTATATAGCATATTGACCTTCTGTCATCCATTGGATATATTAGCTATTGTATTTATTTTTCCTTATTAGCCCAATAAAAAAAACTTATTTCAAAGAAATAATTTTGTTAATAAGTAATTTATATAGACAATTTGAAAAAGAATGGAGGCGAAACAAAATTTTCTAAAGAATAATTACTATTTTGCAAGGTTTTTTTTCATACAGGTAATGAATGCTATACAAAGTTTGATAACTTGTTATTCCGCAGCATGCAAGGTTTGAATTAATAACAACAAATAATTCGTAATAAGTTTTTTTTTGAATTTAAAATAATACAATTCATTATTTATTTATAAAATAGTTGAAAATTACCATTAAAACTAGCTACATTTTTTTTTGTAATGTTGCAATTCCATTAATTTTTTCATAAAATTCATATATGTATTTTACGTGGAATCCACAGCTCTCAAGAGTAAACTATTTATTTTAATATAAGAAAAGAGAAAAATTAAAACCAAGTTCCTACTACAAAGTTGCGTGATTTCATGAGACTTTGCATAACGAAAGTACAAAATTCCATAATATGCAACTTTTGCCACTCGATACATTTTCTTAAATTTATATATGTCGATCGCCCGGGTTTTTATTAGTGAGTTTCTATCGTTGATCGGCGGACCACGAATTAACAATAATAATAAATGAAAGATTATGTTTTACTAAAAAAGGTCAATTCAATTCGAAGAAAAAGAATTCAGAAACAATATTAATATGAATTGAAAACAAATATTAATGTGCGTTTGGTACAACGTAGACACATGATAATATAAAATAAATAATAGTACAAACAAACAAATAATGTAACATTTCACAAAGTCGGTCATTATTTGCACAATCACAGCGGGTTTTTTTGGTTTATAATAATAAGTTCTTGTTATCAGTTAGATACCTATCTGATCTGTGGGTCAATATGTTTTTCATGTGTCCGAAAGGAGCATGAAAAAAGGATATTGTCTTTAGGAAGTGTAGGTATCCGATACCTACCTGATAAATGAATTATCAGGTAGGTCTGACGTATTACTGGCAGAAAAATTTTTTTTCTTTAATTCAAATATGTTCTTGTTATCAGGTAGATCCGACGTATTACTGGCAGAAATAAAATTTTTTTTTCTTTAATTCAAATATATTCTTATTATTAAACAATGAACTGATTGTATCGCATGATTATAATATAAATTTGCAAAAATAAGTTTGTTTATTTCTGCAAGTGGTCACATAGTACCTGCCTGATAAATTCTTATTATTAAACGATAAACTGATTGTATCACATTATCATACCAACTTCCTTTTTCTCTTTTAATGAAAAGAAATATGCACGCGTCAGTAAGCCGAAGTAAGTTTGTTTATTTCTGCCAGTGATTACACAATGATACGCGCGGGTGGATGGCCAGACAATAAAATATTATAGTTCAGGATTTTATAAAATTCATATTATACTTATAATCACTTTTACAAACAGTATTTTAAACATATAAATGATGATTGTTCAAACAGACGAAAAATTCATTTTTTTTTAAAAAAAAAAAAATAAATTTATAATTATAATAATAATAAAAAATCAAAAAATCAAAAATGGATAATAATAAAAATTTCGATGATCAGGATAACGGTTTTAATTCGAATGGGCAAATACAAACGAAGAGTATCACTAATAAATATCCGGCTCCTAATAATACAATTTATCAAAACACTGAAGACAATTATCAAAATGTCGGTGACAATAATTACGCTCACCAACAAAACGTGATTCATAATTATCTTGTTCATCAAAATCCTGGAGAAATTTATCATAATAATAATTACGTTCGCCAAAACATGGTTCACAATATAATTTATCAAAATGTCGGTGATAATAATTACGCTCAACAAAACATGATTCATAATTATCTTATTCATCAAAACCAAAGCCATGAAGAAATTTATCATAATGATAATTACGTTCGCCAAAACATGGTTCATAATACTATTTATCAAAACCCGGAAGGCATTTATCAAAATGTCGGTGATAATAATTACGCTCATCAAAACATGATTCATAATTATCTTGTTCATCAAAATCCTGGAGAAATTTATCATAATAATAATTACGTTCGCCAAAACATGGTTCATAATACAATTTATCAAAACCCAGAAGGCATTTATCAAAACGTCGGTGATAATAATTATGCTCATCATCAAAACATGACTCATAATTATCTCATCCATCAGAGCCCTGGAGAAATTTATCAAAGCATCGGTAATAATAATTACGTTCATCAAAATCCTAAGCATGAGGACGTTTATCAAAATGCTGGTAATGAGAATCACATGCGTCAAAACATGATTTATAATCACCAAAACAATTTCGTCGCTGAACAGAACTCAAGTAATATTACGAGCATTAATCATCAAAATTTTGTTGACAGCTATTTCGCTGGTCAAAATAATTTCAGTAATCATCAAAACTCTACCATCGTCAACAATTTGACTAAAGATCAAATAAAATTGCTGGATAACAATAATAACTGATATGTTGATATCAATGTTAATAAGCAAATCGATTTTAAATAACAACACTTGTGAAATCAATCCTTTCTACTAATGTTACTTATTTTTTAAACAGTTAATAAATGTAATTTTATTTTATAACGCTTATATTTTTATATTTTATATTTTTGGGTATTTGTACCCACTTGGATTAAACAATCATATATCAACAATAAATTTTGATTTTTCGAAAAAATTTAAAAATAATATACAATGACCACACTTAAAAATTATTGTTATTGTCGTATTAGCGATGACGTACCTTGATAATTTAAGAAAAACGCAATAATCATTTTAATCTTTTTATTATTAAATTTATGCAAAATAAATATTATTATTTTGCTCCACGATAGTCTTTATACTTCCTAAATATCACTAATACTATTAATTTACCATTAGCAATATAACTTAAATGCTTTGATGATTACACTATACTTCAATTTAACAAAATATCACCATCGCCCCAATTCTTGTTTGATAACTAATTATTTTGCTTTTTATAATCATGTCGAGCCCTGACATTTTTTGTATGGGAACTAGTGTTGGTCGCTAAAACTAATTTCGACTTATGGTGAAACCTCTTGACTTTCGCACAGTTGAAAAACTCACTAGCTTCGGAAACCAGCACCAATGGGAACCAGGAAATAAAATAAATAAATTTTTACTTGAATTTTATATTAGCCCATGCTAATGGTCACCAACAAATTCCTGCAATCTCCTACAACTCCAACCACAGGGCTGGCAGCATAAAAAGGTTAAAATCCTAATTTAGTAATAATTTTATTGACTAAACTTGACTAACATATGACCAAATAGTAATAGTTTAGTCAATTTAGCCAAGTGCCTCATTTGAGTTACGCAGCCAGTTCTATAAACTCATGTAATATTTTTCGTAAAACTTACAAACATGCTGTAAAGCTTACAAACCTGTTAATATAACTTACCGAATCTAATAATTACGGAGATCCCATAATGTAAAATTGAATTTCCTGATGGACCAATTGTGGGACGTTGCAATATTTAACATCTATTTTTCTAAATGTTGTAGTATCTTAATTCCGAAACTTAGATTTATGCTCAATGCAGGAAAGAATGGTTAAATTGAATATTCAATTAGAATTTCTCATGAAATATTATGCTTAATGAAATTATGAGCCAAAACTAGGACATGTCATAATCATGTCATTTTTACGCATGAGTGCAAAAAGAAGAGGTATTGCTCTATAATGGTACTAATTTGAGGGAACAAAGGATCCTTGCACAAGGAAAACTAAGTGATATAAACAAATCATGTTCTCAAACAGGTAATTAACTTACGGGTTAAAAAAGAAAACGATAATAATGATGAAGAAATTAATGATAATGTCTGTAATCTTAAAACTCTTAAATAACTTTGTAATAAACAATCTTGCAGTTACTGGATCAAATATCAGGCACATTTCAATAAATTAACATAAACAATTTATTCTTTTTAGGAATCGGATAATGACAAAAATAAATATGAATGGACAATAATCTTTTTTTAACAATGTTTTTCATGTTCTTGTTATATTCAGACCTTATCAAAATTTATATGTAACTAAAAATATAAGCGCAAAATATAGTGAAAACCAAAATAACCATCATTTCTATTTTTGTACAATAACCTATTTTTATATTTATTTGTAATTTAAATCAATTAATTGATTGGGTAACTTTAATTTCATTATAGTAGACAGTTTCAAGATTTTTAATGTTAGTATATATTATGAGTTATACATTAAACTTAATTTTGATCTGGGTCAAATCATATAGCAAACAGGGTCACTGGCAGTTTAATTCGCAGCAATAATATCAATATTATAGATAACATCAATGATGGGTTTATTAGTTATTATTATAAATATGATTATTGCTATAACTATTATCCACACAATATCAAGGATTCGAGGAAGGTTATTTATCATTGGACAAAATATTATGTTAAAATGTTGATATCCAATACTTATAAATAAAATTATGCTTCAATGATATAATTATATCAAAGATGTGTATTGGTTGATAGAGAGTTGTTACTCCATCCTGAAAGATCAATACCAGAAAGAATAACCAGCTGTGCATTTGATTTGATGATACATACTTACAATGAATTTTGTCAGAATAATATTCCATTTGAATTTAAATCTATTAAAGATATAACAACCAGCGCACAAAAGGTACTCTAATTTGCCGGTTTTTTCCGGCAGAAATTTTCCGAAATTTTCAAAGAAAATTTTGTGCGCTGATAACAACTTTAAAGCCATTTTTCAAGGGTTTTTACCCCCAATTTTTAATCTCAAACCAAATTTTAAAAAATAATAGCAGCAGAAGAGCTAGAACATTAATTAAAAAGCAAATAATATTGTAAAACCAGCCTCTTTTTCGACTGTTTGATGTTCATGATAAGGAAATTGAAGTCGAGGAGAGAACAGTATTATTTTTTCTGAATTGGAACAAGATTATCAAGAAGTAACAATGCATTAAATACAAACACATATAATAACCAGTTCATTTTTGGAATAGATTTATTAGCAGAAACTGATTATACCTAAATCAATAAACAATAAAAAATTGCGATATTGGCGCAATGTAGAACAGAAAACGAATTGAGGACCAATAAAAGGAAATGGATCAAAGAAATTTGGTTAGGAAACTTGGGTAGGGAACTTGAAGAAAAAAAAATATCATATTACAACTTTAATGGAATAATTACATATGAATATTCATAATTTAGATATTTCTTGATCCATGTCATTATTATTACTATTGTTGTTGTTATCTAGTTAAAATGGAAATTTTGTATTTGTTGATTATAATCTCAACATAAATATTTATTGTCGGACAACAGATTTGTAGTACAATAAAAAAATCTCGCCCAACAATTTATTACTTTTTTTGGATATTATTCGTTCTTTCGTTCTTTGATTTTTTTTGTCCGAGTTTTCACTGCATTTTTCGGACATGTAGTTCCTGTTCCGTATGTTTTTTTCTTGTTATTATAAAGTTATAAATGATAAATATAAGTTATTAAATTATACGACCCCCAGTTTGGGCGCGACTTGACATTGAAAAATCAAGTCGACCTGGAGTTTATTGAAATTATATTCAGGTTCTACACATTTTTCAAAGGACCTACGACAAAAAAAAGATAGTGAATAGACACTTGCTAACGATAAACTAGCACCCTTTTTATTGAACTCGTTTGTTAGCTTGTTTCAGAGAAATATGGATAATATCGACAAAGGGATTGTTATATGAACAATCTCTGGGAAAACTGATTATCTTTGCTATTCCTGAAAGAATATTTCCATCAATCGAGTGATATCATATGTAAATAAATAAATAATAAGGGAAAAATGAATATTAATATAATTTTATAAACAAATACAAGAACCCGCAACATGTATTGTTTTTACTTTTTTATTTATGAATAATGTCCGATTTTTCTCTTTTTTTGAGAAAAAATAAAAAAAACAATATTTATAATACATAATTCCCATTTTCGCTCACTTTAACTGACAAAGCATGGTATAAAATATCAAAAGATACCAAAGTAAGAGCAAAATGGATCGTTAAAAACTACGACAAAGCACATTCATTTTTTTTCGCAATTCGTCATAGTAGTCGTAACTTTATATCATTAGAATTCGTTGATCTTTTTATCAAAGAAAACGTGATTTTATCTAGATATCTTGTTGGGGTGTGAGATGCCCTAATTAAATCAAAATTAGGTGATGTAACATAATGCCGATCAATAACAAACTTTTTTTT